GGCAACCTAAGACAGGCACAGCCGCCTGAGGCCAAGAAGAATGTTTGAAGCAGCCGTTTCTCATACATTCCGCCCTGATAAGCTGTAAGGCTCGCTGGTGCCAACATGAACATGATTTACCAAAACATAAAGGGTCTTCTGACCTTGAGCCAGACACTGCCTGTTAACCATTTCCCTTATCATTCTTCTTTGCTATATAAGACTATGTAACTTAATAAAGCTTTAGGGTAGCCATCAGCTCTCTCTGCATACAGTGTGTATGTGTAGATGATACTGCGACACTGACGTATTTGAGCATCTCTAAGCCCTACCTTATTATCTTAATTACTACAGCTTGACAATAAGTCTTGGTGTCGGTGGAGCAAGGCTCTAGAAGAGCATCTTGACTATTCCTGGTTCTGTGTATTGCCATGAAAACTTTAAAATTAGCTTGTTAATTTCAAAAGGGTTGGGATCAAATTGAATCTATGAATCAATCTGGGAGAAAGAGACATCTTTACAATATTGAGTCTTCTAATCTCTGAATACAGTATGTCTCTCCATTTACTTAGGGCTTCTTTAATGTCTCAATAAGTTTTATAATTTATCCTCTAAATGTCTTGAACATCTTTGTTTCATTAGTTCCTAGGTTGTTGATTAAAAAAGAAAATTTTATAAATGGTATTTTAAAAAATTTGTAAAATTCAAACATATACAAGAGTAGAGAATAGTGTAACAAACCCAAAATACCTACAACCCAGCTTCTTCAACATCTTCAACATTTATTAATGGCTTTGCTATATCATGGCTTGCTTTGTTTTTACAACCTACCCATTCGAAGATTATTTTGAAAAAAATCCAAGTTTGTATCATATCCTCTTTAAATATCCTTAAATTCCCTTTAAATCTCTAGGTTCCCCTCCTCCCCTTCTCCCTTTTCTTCTTGCAATTTATTTGTTGCAGAAACTGGTTGTTTGTCTTGTAGTTTCTGAGTCTGGATATTTCTGATTTTACCCCTATCATGTCTTTAGTAAGCCACTCTGTCTTTTGCATTTCCTGCAAATGGCTAATTAGATATAGAGGCCTGATCAAACTTAAGTTCTATTTTTCTTTGCAAGAGTACTTTATAGTATTACGGTGCTGCAGGTTATATAGGGTATTAAAAATTATTTTCTGCTTGTGGCTGATAAATAGAAACATAATTGAATTTTGTATATTGATTTTATATCAGTCATCTTGCTAAACTCTTATGTTAGTTCTAATTGTTTATCTATAGATTCCTTTGAATTTCTACACAGAATCATATTACCTGCAATATTTTTTTCCTTTCCAATGTTTGCTGTAGGTTGATTGTAGATGCTCTCAATCAAGGTAAGGAAATTCCCTTCACAGTTTGTGAGAGTTTTAATCATGAATGGCTGTTGAATTTTAACAAATGCTTTTCCCATATCTACTGATATGATCACATGGACTTTTCTTCTTTAGTCTGTGCATATGGGTTGATTGGTTCTCAAATGTTGAACCAGCGTGCATTCCCAGTACAAATTCTACTAAATCTCTAACATTTTTCTGAGGATTTTTGCATCTGTGTTCATTAGGGATACTGGCCTGCAGTTTTCTTTTCTTGAATGGCCTTTATTGAACTCTGGTATCAGGATGCTGCTGCCATCATGAAATGAGTTGGGAAGTGTTCTCTTCTATTCTCCTGAAGAGATTTTCCTCCATGTCTCTTACTCTCTCTTCATTGAGAACTTTATTTTTAATTTACTTATTTATTTTTGGTTAGGAGAAAGACATTTATCGGGAAACACTGTGAACTCTTAGCAACAGTATCAAAGTCAATCTCCATATATGATCTAAGCGGCATACAGAGGCGGCTGATGAAGCCTTCGCTTTGGGAAGCCTTTCAGTCCCAGCCAATATGTACTGTCAGTCATAACTACAGCTTCTGTGAGGCACAGTATCTTCGGAAACATAAACAGAACTGAGGAATTTTTGACAGGTTAAAAGAGTCAAAATCCTGACCTTGTGAAGCTTATGTTACAGTGTATAGAGTATCTTAAATGTTCATAAACTTAAAAAATTAGGGGGGAGGGTATCGCTCAGTGGTAGAGTGTATGCCCAGTATGAACAAGGTCCTGGGTTCAATCCCCAGTAGCTCTGTTAAATGAATAAATAAACCTAATTACCTTCCCCCACCAAAAAAAAAACTAAGCAGTTCTTAGTAGGAACTTGTGGTGTGGCCATATGTGGTGTAATGATCGAGGAATGAAACAGATTTTTACCAGCCACTCAGGAAATGAATGTTATTTCTTTTAGCTCAGTAAGTGCAAGGAAACCGTGTTAGAATTTAGGTCAACCTGGAGGGAAATTTCAAACACATGTTTAACATTTTATCGCTGACTTGGATGAGGATCTAGTAGGCAAGGGAAAGGATGACAGATTCAGGGACTCAAATCATACCAAAGGACCAGACTGATGGGCCTTGTCAAACAAGATGAAATTTATCAAGAATAAGGTAAGGCATTTGGGTCCAAAAAATTTGATTTTTCACCTAAAGGACATGAACAATGTGACTTGATAGCAACATCTGAACAGAGCTTCCGGATCTGGCTGATGGTACTGTTTCAAATCTTTCTCATTAGTATTGCATGTCCACTGACATTCTAGAGACCAATGCACTTTTCCAACAAGGGACTCTGCTCTTTCCCCTCAGTTGGGAATGCCTTCCTATACCTTCAAAGTCCGACTCAGGTCTTAAGGAACATACTGCACAGTGGGCCTCTTCCTCATCATCCCAGTTAGAATTTCGTTCTCTCTCTACAGCTTTTGCAGCTTTACTGAGTTCAGTTTTTCTGCAATAAACTGAACATAATATATCAAGTGTACAATTTCATCAGTTTTGACATACTATACATCCCATGAAACCATCACTACAATCAAGATAACATTTTCATCACTCCAGGAATTTTCTTATGCCCCTCTGTAATCCCTCCCTCCTCCAGTCCCCACAAAACTGTCACTATAGATTAGTTTTGCATTTTCTAGAATTTTATATAAATGGAATTATACAGAATATTCTTTTTTGCCTAAAAACTCAGCCTAATGATTTTGAGTTTCACCCGTGTTGTTGTATCAATAGTTCATTCCTTTTTATTGCTTCACAGCATCCCATTGGATGCATATGCCATCATTTGTTTAATCATTTACCAGTTGATTAAAACTTAAAACAATTTTAGCTATTCTAGTAGGTGTGTGGCCACTGAGTTTTTATTACTCCATTTTTTTGTTGTTCTTGGAAATTCCTTTTGGTCCTTTAACAAACCTGCTATGCCATTCAATTGTTTTTCCTGTTTTCTGAAGATTTTTAAAAAGACTGTTACTGAATTTTAGAAGTCTGCTTTAATAAGCACAGTTGTTTAAAACCTTTGGTCTCCTACTTGCAGTATCTGAAGTGGGCTTGAGTTTCTTCCTGGCACCTGTCATTTCTGTCAGGGCTCCCTGGTTTCTGTGTGTGCCTGCTTATTTTGACCTGCTGGTTGCTGCCGTTGAGAAAGTTTATGTGGGGGGTTAGGACGAACTTGAGGATGTGGTCTAGGATAGAAGTGTTCTCCTTCAGAGACGTTCATTTGTCCATAAAAGATATTTGAAACTATTAGTAAAGGGGAAGCCGCATATCAAGTGCATAGCTGGAGTTTCCCTGGCTGTCCCAGGCTCCGTGTACCTGGGTGCAAATCCATTCAAGGTAGACCGGCGGCCACAGTGTTTTCAGGGGACCTTTGTTCTCCTTTTGCCCCGCTCACAGACAAGGCACCTTCTGTGCAGTCCCCAGTGCTGAGGGGCAGTAAGGGCACGCATATCTGTTTGCCCTGAACCTGGAGGGATAGCCTTTTGCAGTGCTGACAATGTGGGCTGTGTCTCCTAACAGATTCTTCTACTTGTACAGGCCTTATTAGGTCTTAACCCTGGTCCTCTGGCAGAGAAGGTTTCTGTGATAATGCCCTCCTGGCAAAATGGGCCAGTTTGGTACTCAAGGTTTTACTGCTCAGATTAATGGCTTTCATATAAAAATTGGTCACTGAGTCTCCCAATACCTTTTCAGTTTCCTCAGTGCTTTTAAGGTAATTTTCAAAAACATATTTTCTGTAGCACTTTTCATTTTCTTCAGCGGGAGGACTGATCCAAGTAACCTAGTCTACCATTACAGGAAACGGGAAGCAAATCTGCTTTTTCCACGGCCATTTCTCAGGCTTCCTCCACGGGACACAGCATTTTAGGTATCGATGAGACGTGACTTACACAAATGATCTGACTAGGGAGCAGAGGTCTGGAATCTACATCATTATTTTCTACAAATTAATATATGGCAACATACAAGAACACATTTTTGTAAAATGTAAATATCAGTAATAACATGATAACATCACTATCAAAATGACGTTTCCTCCCACTAATGCTTAAACTGTTTCTAGAAGATCAGGCTGAAAGACAATGCCAGATGGAAGACTGCTGCGTCCTCTATCCAGGCCTATGTGTCCCCGTGTAAAGTGATGGCATCTGAAGTTGTTCCCAGCTCCAACATTCTAAATTTAAGAATATTTTTGGGAAACATGGGATAGTTGAAAGAAGTGATCAGGCAAAAGAGATTAACTGAGAAATCCCTTTAATTAGTGAAAAAAATGGGTGACAAAACAGCTCTAAATGTCAATGAACTTAATGCCTTTGGTCTCTTTAAGCCAAATTCAAGTATTTTAGAAGGAACTGGCACAGTGCCCTAATGGTTGTTATTTATTGTCAAGTGAAACAAAACTTGGACATAAAGTTATCTTTTTTGCTCTAGATTTCTGATATATTGCCAAAGTACCAACAAAGGTAAACCTGTCAACATTTTTCAAAAAATAGTTAAACTAAGCAAATTGTAACAATAATAGCGGAAATAGATTTTACCAAATATATAGTAATCCATGACCCCTCTCAGGTAAAAACATGTCTAAAAACTGTCTGATGTGTCTAAATACTGTCTTGGGGTTTTCACTGGTGGTGGAGTGGAATGGGGCTGGTGGGAGCAGGTGGAGGGGCAAGGAGAGGGGACACTTAAAAAATGCAATTCCAAAAGGATGGGAACAGCATACAGAAGTAGAGAGCTTTGATTATAGACCATGATGTGACCGTGACGCGAGGCTAGTCACCCAGCCTCTCTGCAAACCTTCCTCTCCTGTGTGAAACAAAGACCTGACGCTCTACGCAGGTGCTCACTCGGTGCTGATAAGTTAGAATTCTTGGATGACTAACTTGAATTGCGTTTGGCTCACAGAGCAAGGAATATAGCAGACAGGTTTTACCGTATAAAACAATAAAATATCAACGTGAAAACTGGATGGCCCAGCTTCACTTTTATCATAAACCAAACCAAAACAACAAAAACATACCATTCCTGAAGTTCTGGAGAAGGAATGAGACCCGCAGTTCCATTTTTGGAGTTTTCCAGTTTACCCTGCCACCAATTGTGATCATCCTTACTAATAATCTGGATAATGTCACCAACTCTGAATCGAATGCCAGCTTCTTTGCAGGGGATGAGGTCATCCTTGGCTGGATCATATTCAAATTGTGCTCTTACATAGATCTATAAAACAGGAGTTCGTAAGAAAAAATGCCAGGCTGATGTGAAAGAAAATAGTTCGCTCTAACTTAATAACCACACACTAACACTTACTACAATACAGACAGGACACTAGATGGTGAAAGCAAATGTGACGCATGGAAATACAACATAAAAAACTGCTACCACTAGAAACAATGCACTACCTTTGATGTGCACAGGATCAAATCTTGGCTGTTTTTATTTGGAGGGAACACTTAAGATGCTTGCTTAATAAAAATGAAGACTTAATTTGTGCTTCTACTAGAACAGAATAGGCTTATAATTACAGAGGCGTATGCTTACCATTTTAAAATCTGCATACGTTTAGTTGATATTATGGATACGTTGTCATGATCATGGGGCAGCCTTTAAGCCACAAGCACAAGCACTCAGGGTAGGTTTTAACCCTAAAGCAGCACATGATCTAAAACTAGCAAGAAGTCTGTGTTAGGATCTTGTTGTAAAATGCCTGCATGACAACTGGCAGTGTGCCTATGCACTGCTGATAAATTGAAATGTACTTCGAAGAAACTTTTAAAGCATTTAAAAACAGTTTTATTTTTTAGACAGGATTTAGGCTTTATATTTGTATTTCACTCTTCTTAGAGAAGAAAAACGAACTGGAATCCTGGCTTTGCCAATGCAACACTTGAAATCAGCACAGAGCTTCAAGATATGCATAGTTCAAGGCTCTGAGTTTTATCCTCTATAAATGTAATCAGTAAATACTATAAAAGGAAACAGATTAGCACATAAGGGGTTATCATATGGCAGCATTTTATGAATTACTGGATTTCTAAATGCTTTCAAAGAAGGTGCTACATATTCACTGTTGTATCACTTATGGGTGATTTCTGTCAGGTGCTAGCTTATGGAAATCTTAACTTCAGATCTGATTATTTTATTTAATAGCACATTTCAAGAAAAATCCCATAAAAAGTCTACTCTTAAAATTTCACTTGAATATTAATGTTTCAGTCACTGTAAAACCAACCTGAAGGCTTTGGAACTATTGTGTTAAATTACTCTGTTTAAGTTTCTTTTCAGAAATCCAGCCTATAATATTAATGAGTCTCTGCAGTTGCACCTCAAATCCACACTCAAAGTGCCACCAAACTGAAAGTTACTCGCTAGTGTCAAGCAGCACTTCACTTTTCACGTCTGAACTAACACAGGCAGATTAGGACGTAAAGCCAGGATTTTTATGTTCTTATTGTTCATTGTAAATGGCTTTTAGAAATACATATGCAGATACAAATTAAGGAAAAGCCTTTAACTTTCAGATAACTATTGCTTAAGAATGTTCATCGGCATGCATGTACATTTTACTTATTCTTAGAATTCTAAGAATTTTGCAACCTTAAAAAAATTTTTTCTACCCCAGAGGCAGGCCCATAAGATCCCCAAAGGCTGAATTCTTAACCATCAGCACAAAATGATCAGGTTGAAATTACAATAACCATCATAGCTACAAAGATGTTAGGAAAAAAAATCTTTATAGAGAATTAGTCATGTGTAATGTGTTAAAATGAAATGGTACAAGCTCTCAATGCTCAAATGTTATGGTCCAAAATGCAGACATTATGGGATGGAAAGGGTTAATAAAGGATTGGCTATTAGCAGCTCAGTTTAGAGAAGTTTCTATAGAGGGTATCTATTCACCTGTCGTCCTTTTGGTTGGGTAGTTGATGGCAAGTCCTGTAGAATAAAGCCAACCCAGGAGAAAAATTTTCATTTACTTTTCAAAGAGTACAAGTAATTTGTGTGTTCTGTTACAGTATGATTAAAAAATGAGCTAGATTTAAGTTGTAAAAGAGATAATATACATTATTCCATTTCTCAGAAATGTTGAGTTATCAAAAAAAAAAAATCAAACCCAGGCCATTTAGCAGCAAGCTGAAGAAAGCAGGTAAGTTTAAGCAGAGAGAAAATGTGTTCTTAACAACTCAGCATCTTCAACACAAAAGCCACTGCGAGTGAAATAGCCTATTAAAAACCACCCAAACTAAAAAGAGCTGTTGCCCTTTTCAACTTAGTCACTGCGACCATTTAGATTTTGAAAAATTCAACGGTTATGTGGGTTTTCACCATCTTAAAATTATTAAATGTTAACTGTTATAAATGAATTCCTTTGGTAGCCTACTTTGAAGTTGCAAATAAAAGTCATAGGAAATTTTCTTCATAGGAAATCTTACTTATATCATTCCATTTGAGGTGATCTCTAAATTATATAAAATTTTACCTGATAAAAAAGTTGATACATTTTCAAAGGGCAAATTAATAGTCAGGGGAAGAAAAGTGATACTGCTGCATCGTTAGAATTCTCATTATTTTTAACAGCAATATCAGCAACTTGGAGAAGATTTTGTTACCCCAAAATATTGCACACCTGCACCTATAAGTGCTTCCGTTTGTTTAAATAAATTAAACACAACTCTCTTTACATTCCCAAATGGATAGTTCTGGGAAAAAAAAGTGTAGAATTCCAAGTTCAAGTCAAAATTTGACGTACTTTGTGTTAAAGATGTGATAATAGCGTGGCTTAAGTGCAGTTTGAAGCCAGTTCCTTTTGCTTTTCATATCCAGGCAAGGCTTATAATTCACAAAAATATGTGCACGTACCACAATAACAGAGGGCACACCAATTCGTAAACTTAGATAGCGGAAACTAAAACAGGTTGCTGGTATCACTCAGAACAGACAACTACAAAGCCCGAGAAAACCCAAATGCCTACTCTGCAGAATGCTAACATTTCTTTACCTTTCCCAAATTACAAAAAAAAAAATGCTTAGAAATTTCAAGAAGTTTCCATTTACATACTTTGCATAACTTTGAGCAAAGTTCATAAATGGTAGTTGGGTGACACAGAAATATTTTGAGAATGACCAGAGTAGTCTTGAACTACATTTCTTCAAATTTAACTAATGAAAGGGATTTTTAATGAGAAGAAAATGAACAAGATTTTCCAGGAGTAAACTGCATTGTAGCTGTAGTAGCCTTGTATATTGGCAGAAGACAATTTCCACTGAACACATGTAACTAGAACACTCATGGCAGGTGGCACCAACAAAATTGTCACACTTTGCTGTGTGGAGCTAGAGTTCTTACCGAAACAGAATTGTTAGTGCTGCTATGACCATTAGCTGGGGACTGTCTGGAAGTGGAGGGGGAATCTCTCTGAAATAAGACACAAGGTTCATTAACACAGAACACCAGCACAGAAACAGATATTCACATCAACAGTTACAACCACAGTCTGACAACCATTTCCTTTGAGGTTTTAGCTGTAAAGGTGCCATGCTGACTTACTTGCATGATTTCACAGAAGTATGAAAAGACTTCTGCAGTTTGAAGACTCACATATTGTAACTGATGACCGTGTCATTCATTAATCTTTTCTTTCCAGTCTCCAGCATTCCATATAACCTTTGCTTTCTTTAAATGACACCCCAAAGAGTGACGATATTAAAACCCTATCAAGTACTGTAAAATGATGTATTACTATAAAATTATTGTGTTGAAGACCCCGACTGCCTAATTTTTATTAAAAATTAGGTTTGAAAAGTATTTAACAATCTTGAGGTACCTCAGTGTCAATAATTACTGAATGACACAATCTGAAGGGAAGTGAGCCTCAAAAAAAAGACTTCTCATGTTGTAGTCACCTTAGAATCTTCCCAGGATAGACATAACTAATAGGGGTGAAAGAGAAGATATATGCCAGAAGAGAAATCTGTATTCTTTAGATTATTTTAGCAGATTAATTAAAAGAATAATCTTGAGCCTCTGAAACATCATGCTTCTGGCAAAGATCCCAACAGCCACAGCCACGCTCCTCCCTAGATCTGCGCTCCTTGAGCCCACTGCTCTCTATACTATCTGACACGCTCAGAATCCGTTCCAGATTCCACTCTCTTATTGTCCAAATCAACTTTAATGTTAGAACAAGGAGAGGGTAAAAATAAGGCTTTAAAAATTTCTGGTTTACTAGAGTTCTTTGAAACCTTTGAAATGTGCATGACTGCTTAAAAGCCAGTTGCCTTTTCTAGAAGATTTAAGGAAAACTTCCGGAATTTGTTACCTTTTAAATAATGAGATCCCTTAGGTGAGTATTCTCTGATGTTAGTGAGCAGAAGGACCCTGAGGGTGCCATCCCCAGAGATGCATATCAGTAGGGCCAGGGGGATGTAGGTGGCCAGAGAACCTTTTTTTGGGAAGTATTATTGTAGCTGGGAAGAGTCCAACCCTAGGCTTGGATTCTGCCAGAGCACAGGAGAGTCAAACAGATCAGAGGTGGGGCTAGGAGGGGAGTATCCTCTTTCCTACCATCCAGAGGCAAAGAAGGTAAGAGGAGCTCTTCTTACTCAAGAGCACAGAATTTATAGGTGTAATACTGGTTCCACCCCAAAACTAGCTCAACCACTTAAAAACACAAGAGAAACTTATGTTATATTAATAACCAACAGTATCTTCTAGCTAGCCAAAAAAGACAAAAATCAATTGTATTTACTAAATTTCCTCCATGATGAGAAATGATATGAGGATCACCTGTGATTTTAGAATATCAAAATGCTTTATGTAAAACGTGCGCGTGACAGTCTCCCTTTTCCAGCAAGGTTTCTGTTCCAGGTAACAAATTTCAAAACTATAAATCCTGGAGCAGAAGTAGTTCTGTATTTTCTTTTGAAATATGGTATTAATTGAAGTTCCATAAAAAGCCACCAAGAGGAGCTCAAGACCCGATAGAACAGAAACCCCAATTGTCATGGCTCACTAAATATATTTGACAAAACTCTAAATTCTTATACACATCTTCAATTCGTTTATGAAAAAACATGAAGCCTCTGATTTTTCTTGTGCAATTTATATCACTAGTAGAGACTGGCAGAAACATAATTTTTCCCTCAACTTCTCCTAAGTACAATATCAATTTTTTAGATGAGTTCCAGTAAGTTGCCTGCCAGTCTTAAATATTAACTGGAGGAAATGTGTACTTCATATTGATGTACACATACTTGGAAGATACACACGAAAGAACAAGCTTCAAAGAATAATACTCAAACTGAATGTGCAATGACTGAAGGATGACGCCATTGATGCCAGTTCATATTTCCAAATATAAAAAGAATAGATTTTTGAATCTCACTTGATAACCAACATCAAACTGAATAATACAGCTTGGAAAAGGTACAATTTCTATAGGATAAGCCTATTGCAAGAATGGAACTTTGGGTTTGTATTACTTGAGAGAAGTTACCTGTTTATGAATCATGTAACATTCCAAATTTAAACAAATTCACAGAAGGTTGCAAAAGCCTATATTCCTCCAATAAAGTCAGTAATCAATTCCTCATAGACTTAACACCCATCTACCTGTCACAATTATTTGAACAACTACTATCTTAACCGAAATAGACCACTTCTCAGATTCTTAGAAAGAAGAACTATCCATGCAATTTCTCAATAAGGGAAGTGAATGTACTTCCTGGAAATATTATTGTAATTATGATCTTTTCTTTTCCCCTCAGAGACTCCACTTGTTCTTTACTAAGTCTTTGTCATTGTTTGGAGCTTCTCTATATTTTGCTTCGATTCCAGCCTGCAGAAAGTTAAAGTGCTGAGGAGATCCCCAAGGAAGCAGGGCTGAGTAGGTGGATGGGACCTACTCTGTTCCGTTATCTTTGTTGTAAAATTGGTGTGCAGTGATCAACAGCACAGGCAGAAACAATTTCCCAGAAAGCCAAAACATTCAGCCATCAGCAGACAGTTAGTTAAGAACCCAGAGGATATGGGGTGTTTCGTTAGAGCTATTACCTCACAGGACGAGGACTGAGTGCGGTAACTTGGCACGATCTTGAAGGTGATACTCCCCCGCATTTCCCGCTGCAGAAAGAGAAAAAGAGAGCACTTTTAACAAACAGATGTTGCACACAAAAACACATAAGAAACCACTGAAAACGTGTGGGGCCAATTAATGCAAGCCAGCTGAGAGTGCATGGGCTTAAAGCGAAACCGAGTTATAAAGCGGGGGTGTTCACAGTAACGGTGGGGGTTGTTTCTGGGAAAAGCCCTGCAAAGTCAAGGCTGAATGCGTTGTTCACGGAACAATGGTACAACAGACCTCCGATGGTTACCTTTTCATGGACATGAATACGGAAATCTCTTAAGTGACATGCCTTTCAAAAATGAATATAAATTGAACCAGACAGTAGAACAAGGAATTACACAAGAATTAGGGGGGAAGGTATGGCTCAGTGGTAGGGTGCGTGCCTACCATGGCACAAGGTCCTGAGTTCAATCCCCAGTACCTCCATTAAAAATAAATAAAAACCTAATCACTGCCTCAAAAAATAAAAAAATAAAAATAAAAATGTGAAATTGTAAAAAAAAAAAAAGTTAAAAAAATAATAATTAAAAGCCTTTAAAAAAAGAATTATACTTGGTAGGCTACATTAGGATGGTGTACTCCATAAAATATGGTTTTTATTTCATAATTTTGCCCTTATTTTTGACTACAGTGAGTCTGTGGTGCTTGTTTGACCTTTAATAGCATTCATAACATGGGAGGCTGCGACAGTGCGGTGCCATTCTGTCCACCCGCCTCCCTTAAATCCAAAACCTAATCTGAACACAGATTTTAGATATATATGGTCAAAAATGGCCTGGTCTACTACAGTTCTCCTTTCCTCCGTGCTGTAGAGAAATTTAGTACAGCTGGCTATGACTCAGCTGAGCAGGAAAGAGGCTCCTGACACCGCTGATGTCAGCAGAGGTCAGTGAGAAAGTAGTTCACGGGTATGCACAACTGGGAAGGCTTTCTTTAAACATCTGCTTGATAAGAAACAGGAGACAAAGGATTGAAAGGGGAATGTACAAGCCCACACTGCTAAAGATGGGCAAAATGTTTCTCAACTTGGCTGCATGTAAACATTTTCCTAGTTGTCAGTTTTTATGAATGTTGCATAAGTTCAAGTCTACACAAATGATGGTACCAGACGTACTCTGATTACAAAAGAATGCCCCTTATTTGTGCATTAATAAACAAGCTAACGAACTGAAAGTCAATCTTAGAAAAAGAGACTTTCATTTACTCACAAGCATTTTTTGCAGCTGTTCCACTGTTTGGTTAGCCACGCTGATGCCATTAATTTCTCGAATTTCATCACCGACATGAAGTGTACCTGAAGGAATTTCACAAAATTATAAACATGAAATGATATATACTTTTATAACAATAAAATCCAAAGGCAGCTATATATGTAATTTTTAAAAATTAGGCTGAATATTAAGGGCAAAGATTTCAGAACCAGGTACAAGTTAGGCTTACACAGTAAACTCACCAAAACAGATACATCTACTTATGAAAGACACAGTTTGGAAAGACAGCTGTGAAATTCTGCTTGTTTTTCTGACAGAGGCAGTGTGTATATGGTGGTTTAAAAGTACGACTTCTAGATGTAGCCTGTCTGGGTTCAAATCTCTGCTTCATCACTTACTAGCTTTAAGATCTTGGGCAAGTTATTGAAACTCTCCATGTCTCTGTTTTCACATTTGTAAAATGGAGATGAAAACAGTACCTATCTCATAGGACTGTTGTGAGGATTAAATCAGTTCAGTACATGCAGAGGGCTCAGAACTGTTCTTGGCACATGCTCAGTACAACTGAGGTGTTTGTTGTCATTCTTATTATCATCATTATCTACCAAATAGGATACAAAGAATGGTGATTTTCAAAGAATAATAATACCAATGTAACAGTAAACTTATATTAGCTATATCACAATCTTTTAATAATTTGGTAGGCGTTTCAGAGTCCTGTAATACATCAGCTAGAGAAAGTGACTGAGAACCAATGGATAAATAGTGTTATGTAAAATTCTGCTTCTTTATAGATTGTGCACATGTTTACTTACTGATCTGACTTCATTAGGAAAAGCTCACGGTATCTTAAAGAGGTACACACTAAAATGCATATAAATAAAATAGGACACCTGGTATTTGCTTCAAAATAATCCAAGGGGGTGGGCAGTAGGGCAAATACAGATGAAACCAGTGTGGCCATGAATTAACAACACTTCTAGCTGGAATTATGGGTATGTGGGTGACCACTGCATTATCCCTTCCACTTTTCTCTACTTGAACTCACTACTCTGTTCTCTCTACTCACGTGTGGAAATTAATATAATAAAACATAAAACAAAAATTTGGGGACTTCTGCTTCCAATATGGCTGATCAGACACTCACAGACTTTCTCCCAACTATATTCTGTCTAGGACACACCTCTTGAAGAGTTACTGGTCTCACAAAAGGAATGCATATCCCCAAGAACACTTCCCACTTCCATCCCCTCTCTCCCTCCACATGAAAGGACCCTGTGAGCTGGATCCAGAGTGGTGGCAAACTCAGGGTGGAATGCAATAGTGGGAAGGGGGAATGCCGTAGCAGCAATGCCTGCTGGCTGGATTCTGAGCCTTGGGCCAACAGTGAGTTAGAGAAGTTGAGTCTAGGATTCCGGAGGGAGCCAAGACCCAGATCAGCGGCACTCCATGGCAACTGGGAGAACAAGGAACAAACCCTTTCTGGAGGAAAGGGTTCCCAGTTTAGGCTCACGAGACCTCCAATAAGTTTACCATCAAAGGTTAACAAACAGTACAGTAAGGTAAACTGCTCTGCAAGTCATCAGAAAGAGAAAAAACAAATTTAGATCCTCAAGGAGGATAGATATTGGAATGGTTAGATACAAAATACAGGAGTACGTCATTTTCTTGTGCCTTGCTTTACTGTATCTCAAAGACACTGCATTTTTAACAAATTGAAGGTGGCAATCCTGCGTTGAGCAGGTTTTTCTGTGCCATTTTTCCAACAGCATTTGCTCATTTCATGTCTCTGCATCACAATTTGGTAATTCTTGCAATATTTCAAACTTTTTTCATTATTATTGTATTTGTTATGGTGATCTGTGATGAGTGATCTTTGATGTTAACTATTGTAATCGTTTTGGGGGTGCCATGAACTGCACCCATTTTAGATGGCAGACTTAACTGATTATTGAAATGCCAACAAAGGATTTAGAATATTACATAAAGCAGTGGCAGGGTTTGAGAGGGTTGACTCCAATTTTGAAAGAGGTTCTATTGTAGGTAAAACATGAAACAAACACTGCATGCTACAGAGAAATCATTCGTGAAAGGAAGAGTCAACTGATGAGGCAAACTTCATTGTTGTCTTATTTTAAGACACTGCCACAGCCACCTCAACCTTCAGCAACCACTACCCTGATCAACATCTAGACAAGACTTTCCACTAGCAAAAAGGATTATGATTTGCAGAAGGCTCAAATGATGGCTAGCACTTTTCTTTAGCAATAAGTATTTTTAAATTAAGGTATGTACATTTTTTTAGACATAATGGCATCGCACACTTTATAGATGATAGTATAGTGCAAACATAACTCTTACGTGCACTGGGAAACAAAAAAATTCATGTCACTCACTTTATTGTAATATTTGCTTTATTGCAGTGGCCTGAAACCAAACCTGTAATATCTCCAAGGTGTGCTTGTATAAAAGAGCTATGTGTTAAATATTAGGGAAAAATAAGAGGATGAGTGTGCAACAAGAGATTATCAGGTGTGAACAGACAGATTTAAAAATAAAAATAAGAACAAGTGACTAGTACTTTCAGAAGAGAAAAACATAATTGATGGTATAAGCCAATGAATAGATGAGTTGAATGGGAGTTCAGATATGGCTGAAGAGAGTGTCAGGGAACTGGAAGATACAACCAAATAAATTGTCGTGAATGGAGGTCAGAGAAATAAGTAGATAAGGAAAAGTAGGAAATAAGAAATAACAAACATATGAAAAAAGATATTACAGGCACAGAATGGTTAGAAATAAAAGGATGGAAGAAGACATGCTAGGAAATACTAAAATAAAGCTGGAATAACTACATTAATATAAAATAGGTTCTAAGTCAAAAGTATAATTAAGGATGGAAATGGTTACCAGGCACTTCTATGCTCCTAATAAAACAG